TCCACTTATAGCTACAGAAATATATTTGCAAATGTGGAAATTACTCGTATATGTTAAAAATATTATTAATTTAATAAAATTGACATTGATCTGCAAGGAACACTATGCCAAAGTTTATTAACGGACATATATATATAATAAAATTTCTGTACGATTGCACTAAGATTCAGACAGACAGCTTACAAGAGGAGTGTATAGTTCGAGTTAATAAACACGTAATAGCTTACAGAGTGGAACCGTAATTGGTTCGGCGAAATCATTATTTCTTCCTCGCGTTTTCTCCAATCGATTAGGTTTAACCGCAACAAATACTTGGAATCCCCTATTGCAAACTATTCGCGTATGCCCATCATGTAAAAGGTACCGCGAGTCGCGGAAGACCTGCCACGGCATGTCGCGGTGGGTTCGTGTCGCTCCCGGAAGCGACGTGCATCTTCCCTGACGTGCTCGCGTGGCCCGCGCGACGGACAACGTCGGGGCTAAACGGTCGACGGGACAATAAGTTCTTTTCGCATTCGTCATATATCCGTGCCGAGATCCGAGCCTGGGCTCTCCCCGGTCGCGTCAGGGCGAAGTCACGAAACACACGGGAGACACGGAAGAGAGACAGAGGAGAGACGGACAGTCGTGCGACTCGATCCCCATTGGAGAACCCAGTGCTCGTGGTCACGCACGAGCGGTTCTCGCACCGTCGCCGTAGGATGACGGGACGTATTCCAACTTGTATTGTTGTGCACCCGTCCCGCCGTGCGATACCGTAAGTGCCTACATAATACTTTTGTATGTATCTCCCAGGCCGCGGGAGACGCCGCGCCACGCCGGCCATAGCCAGAGCGATGAAAACGAGCGGAGATAATAGCAAAGAGATAAGGGCAGCGCCTCGTTACATTACATTCGGCGTGCCAGCTGTGTGACGACCTCCTTGCTCGCGTATCCCTCCTGTTCTTCGTCACTCGATCCTTTCGCCTGTCCTTCTCCGGCTCCGCCAGTCCGCGACCTCCCTTGTCTCTTCGGCCCTCGAAAATCTCCCACCGTGATCGCATTTGCGTCTTCATTACTCGGATCCTACCCCGGCTATCAGCCGCGGTTGATATTTCAGAAATAACAACGCGCGGAGGGGTCTCAAAGTGATGCCTTGCGACTCTTCATTTACGCTGGATCTTATCCCTTCTTCTCATTTCTGGCGATAAATCTTTGTCTCTTTGGTCGCCCAGGATGTTGATGTCGCGATTGCGTCCTCGTTGCATGTCAGCACCTTTCCTAGTCATCAATTATAAGTTACATCTTTTAAGAAAGGAGTTTCGAAACTACATTATGACCATTATAACAATTCTTTATATAATTATCAAATTTATCTTTAATTATTTTTAATCCTTAATATCCTTAATTATCTCAATGTTTTATTTTATCTATTCTTTTCATATGTTTAATAGTGCGTGACACATGCAATTGAAATAGAAAAATGGGAAACATATATCTTATCTGTAGTCTCTTCGTCCGATAGGATGACAAAACGCTCGATGAGCAACGTGAAAAGTTATCGGACACGCGTACGTAAAATTATTATGAAATTTCGATGCAGATTAAAAAATGATTTTTGCCGGACCCGTGCGGGCAACGCCGTATATGCAAACATAATATTTGCAGAAATTACGGTTCCATGCTCAAATCCACTTTAGTCTATCTTTATGCGTCTATGTCGAATCAATATTACACATACATATTTACGAGCGAATTCACCTCCAAACCACCAATAAGCCGCCGGCCTCATATACATATCCCCGGCGCAATCGTTACCGGTGTGTCCCAGGTTTTGATTTTCGTTCTTTGTTCATTTATTTGTTTTTCCCTTTTTACTGAAAAATCTGTCGATTTATGAGGGCCGGCGTTTCCATCGCATCGACATTACCGCGCGCGTATCTGGTTACGCGTTTTCATTCGTTTATTTATCGCACGGAAATTTCGCTGATTAGTATCGTGCGGACTGCACTAATGCGTTGTCTCGTAATTCATCGATTTTAACGGAGCTGCCGGTCCATTGAATCCGCTACTTGCCTGCTGACATTTGCGTATCGTGACGAGCTCACAAAAACTTGTGCAAAAAAAAGCCGAACGCTCGGCTCGAGCACGGATATTATTGTAGACTTATTGTTGTAAATTATTATTATGTCATATCACCGTCAGCGAATTTAAAAGAAACATTGAAATAATGGCTGTGAATGGGGCTTTTTATGTTAAATTGCATACATTCATCGTTATCATAATTATCATTGACGCTATAGACAGATCTTGTATCCTGGTGTGATTTACCATTCAATTAGACTTCTTTCATTAATTTACACGATCTTAGGACAGTTATACGGTTGTTTGGCTGTCGTAAACATCCTAAATTGGAGTCTCGTTTACGACTTTAAAATCGTGAACGCGCAAGAATCTACGAACGTTAGCGTTAGCCGCTGGCGAGTAATCGTCAGCCAATCTTCATCTTTCAGCGCAACTATCTCTCTTTATAATCTCTTGGTCCTGGGGTCTCGAAGAATCTATTATATCTTGATACTTTCTCTCTCGGGATTCTTCTCGACCATTTCGTCTATTTGGCCGGCGCGTTCATTATTTCGAAGGCTTTCTGGCGACGACGGCGCCGGGCGTCGTCGGTGCCGCGGTTCTTTACGACGCGGAATTATCCTTCGACGTCGTTGTCTTCGTCACGATCGCGCGCAAAATTCTCCAGCGCCGGCGGAGATAGCGCCGGTGGACGGATCCCCACGGGATGAAAATGGACAAAGTTTCCCTCGCACGACAACTGGGATGGAGCCTGACTCGACCCGACTCGACTCGACTCTGGTCTAGTCGACTTGGATCGACTCGACTCACTCCCCCTTTCTCTCTCTCTCTTACACAGTCTCACCCGCTCTCACACGCTCATTCTTCCTTTCCCACTTCTCCTTCTCCCCAACGCGTCCTCCGTCCTTCGCGCAGATCCAGCTCGACCCGTTGTAGTTCGACTCGCATAAACTTGCGGCGATACACTTGGCGCTCGTCCTGAAACGCGAGAGTCGCCTTGTTGGGCGCCACGAGATAAAGTCACCTCTCTCTCCCTCTCGCGCGCTCCCTCATTCACCGTCTCTCGCCGGCGTTTCTCCTTTTCCCTTCCAGCCCGATTCCAGCGCGCACATTAGGCTTAGGGTAAAGGATAGAATGTATCTCGAGCAGAGAGAATACCTATACACACGGGGAAAGAGAGAGGGTTAGGGAGCAGTTCTAAAGTGCCGTTGGGTGGCGGCGTGCCGGCAGCCCCCGGTCGCTATCGGAGGGAAAAGGGATCGGGGGCGGCGGTGGCAGTGGCGACGGGGGATAGGATTGTACGAGCGAGCGGTTCGTGGATGGCGAGGCTGCTGCAGGTTGGCCCGGCACCGAGCCGAGAGATTGGATCCCGGAAATGAGACAAACCGATGGAACCCCCGAACCCTCTCTCCTCGCCGAAGCCGCCGGACGAGGGTAAGAGGGGGAGGGACGGTGGAAATACGCTATGCTCTCCTCGATAGTCGCCGTTATCCCGCGATGTATCTACCCTATCAGCTCTTTCTCTCGTTCCACCGCCGTCGCCGTCGCGCGCGCTTCCTTGTATCTCTCCTTCGCGTTCCCGGACGACTTTGTCGCCAAAATTATGAGATTGATCCGGAGTCGACGCGCTGTCCGGGCGGAATGTTGCGGACGGGGGCCACGATCGACTGTTCCATTTCCGGTAGCCACTAAACTATGGCATGAAGCCCGATCTGCTGCGAACGCGCGATGCATTTTCATCGCGGTACATTTCCTGAGGGTGTACGCGACATTGCTTTTTCTTTAATTTACTCCCACCCACCGTTTCTGACGAGTTAATATATCGGCCGGTCGTCACCGAGGATCGCTTTAATAGTTCCCGAGCTCTGAAAATAGAATCGATCATTGCAATTTACGCCGATAAAGGTATAATATATTGCCGGCGCGGAGCTGCGAATTCACTAGTAGATCCTGAGAGGATGCCTATTGCCGGCTTACCAATTCTGGAGCGCTGCCAATTCGGAAAATCATTTCCAGGACATCGTGCACCGGCCAGGAAAGAGCATTTATGTCTTAACAAGAGTCCGACTTTGCGGCCAAAACTACTAGCATGCGTGTAATTCGAAAGTATAGTAAGAGACGGTTATCTTGCGGGTTTCTTCGAAAAAGGCAAGCACGCGTGGACGTAACAGGTGTTGTTACGTACGTATAAATTGGGATTACTAATGGATGACTATTTTGTTATTTTAAAGACGTTTTGCTCGCAGGTAACTGCTGTTCTCTCTTTGCCAATCGATTATAGGTTCCAAAATAATACAGTAACTATTATTATTGAACACATAATAATTGTACCTTTGGCGAGTTTGGTTATAGCATCATTATGGTTTCCCGACTCAGTCAGAGCACTACTGGAATTGATTAGTTAATTAAATAACGATGAACAATCGTTCCTCCTAATTAATTAGATTAATTAGCAAATTCAACATTTTGCCTATATATAGGTGCATGCGATCTGTGTACCGTTCTCTAATTTACAAAAACATTTTTAAACTTTTGAATAAAATTGTTTAACGTAAAATCTTATCGTATAAAAGTAAACTGTTTCAGAGATACTATTATTGATAAAATAAATGCCCAAATTGTATCAATTTATTGCATTGATTTTAACTGCATTATTAGAAATAACGTAAATATCACATGGCATAACTTTTTAAATAATTACTTAAATTTATTTTCTGTTTCATTAAATCTATCTGTGTGTGTCTCCGATATATATTTGTGAAGTTCTATAATGAATGACTAAAGATAAAATCAAGACTGAAAAGAATTTATCTTCTCTTCACATATTTTTTTATTATCAAGTAGTCAGATTCGACCCTTTAATTATTAATTATAGAATATACATATATTATAAACATGATTCTCCGAATTAATTTTACTATTTTATTCTCTTGCAGAGAAAAGAGCACCGCAGTTCATCCCTATACGCGCTTAAAGGTAATTCCTGGAAAAGCCTGGATCCGGAGCGGCGCAGGTTCTAGCAACAGTGAGTAGCTGAGTTCGCGCTTGATCACACTAGTGGACAGAGAAGGGTAGACCAACGTGGTGGGACGTAGAAAATATGATGGATCCGGACTCGTCGTCTTTCCGTCCCGTGGCGATCATCCGTCAACCCTTTGAAACTTGACGGAAGTCCCGACCGTGTGGGGCGGCGGCATACATGCCCGTGTATACATGTGTACGCGTCGCGGGGACGTGCACACACGCGTGTGTGCATCATATCCACGGCTGGCCCGAGTTCGCCGAGTGGTTGGAAGTGCGCTCTCGCGCGCCCCGCTCATTCGCCCGTTCTGTGTGGCCCCGGCCGCGTTATACGCGATGACTGCACGCGCGCGCGACAACGGCGCGTTCTCGCTCTCACGGGTGATAAATGGTTCGATCGGGCATCGATGGAAGCGCAGCCGGGGCTGCTGCTGCTGCTGCTGCTGCTGCCATACCCGATGCTGCAAACTGCGAACCATCACCGGACAGCGATGACGTGGCCGGCTTCCGAGAGGCGGATGTCCATCTTCGTCCCGCGCTTTTTTTTCGGCGTTATAGAATTTTTTTACGCTCCTCTGACACGTTGGCTGTGCCCTTCGTACGCTATTGCGCTAACGAAATCCTAATCTTTCCTTTTCTCTTTTCCTCCTTTTTTTTATTTACTATAATACTGCCTTTCCTCCGCGCTGCGCCACTTTCTTCCTTCTTCACCCCCTTCGTTCGGCTTTCATCGCCTTACGACGGTCGATACGGGTTTTCTTTTCTTTTTTTCCTATTTTGCTCGGCCGCGCTTTATTCGCGGATGTTCATTTGGTGCATTTGCATAATTTATGCATGTTGCGGAACGCCACTCGGTTCGGCGTTATAAATATGTAAACGTTCCCGTCGTAACGCGGAATGTTCCGCTGCACTTCGCGATTCGTCGTTCGCCCACGGTAACGTAGTATTTGTCTCGATACGCAGACGGCGTATTCCCTCCGCGGGCGACTAACCGAGAAGCGCAACGAATGGTCCTTGGCAATCCACGTCGAGAGTAACTGAGTTTTTAAAATCGAATTTCCGCGACGATATATACGACCGTGATCCCGTTCCACACGGGCGGTAGACATTAACGTAAACTTGTGTCTCGACTTTTGCATCTCCTCCTCTTTCACCCCGGCTGAGAAAGGGGTGCGCGCGGGCGGGAAGCGGGAGGGGGAGGGGGCGGCTCGCGGTTAGTAGGGACGCGTTTAATGCAGTTTCGGGCGTTCGAGCGGCAAATCCATCAGGCGGATACCTCGGGCATCGCCGTACCCCACGGGGCGGATAAATACTTATTTAACGCGCTTATGCATGCAGCCGCGGTAGCGATACGACCCGTAAATCTGTCCGAGGAAGTACAATGCTGCTAATTATATACATTCCCGTGACGCGAGAGAGGGAGAGCGCCCGTCCGTGAGGGTCGAAAGAGCGAACGAGAGAGAGAGAGACGGAGAAAGGGAGAGAACAAGAGGGCGACCTCTGGCACCCCAAGAGCGGCGAGCGCGCTCTGGAAACCCTCCCCGTTCTTCACCCCCTCCCGTCTCTTTCTCTCTCTCCGGACCGTGCCGTCGGCTCAAAAGACTCGCAGATTTATTGCCAAAGAGAGGAGGGAAAATGTCGACCTAAGCTCATACGTACCGGCTTGGCAGTTTGTATGCCCGCGCACTCTCCGCCGAGAGAGGCTACCGGGAGCGAGGGAGTCGCGGAATAAGAAGGGTAAGAGGAAATGCGAGAGAAAGAAGGACAACGGGAGACGAGAGTAACGTACAGAGGGGGAGGGGGGTATCGGAAGGGGTAGCTCGTAGAATGAGCGGAGGTTGAAGGAGGGCGAAGGGGGGGTGGGTCGCCAGTCAAGAGGGGCAGAAACTGGCAGTGGAGGAAAGAGAACGAAGCTATAAATTCCATCCCTCCACGTCTCCGCTCGTCGTGCTATATCGCTGATTTATAAATATGACTGTAGCGAAGTATAATAATACGTACGTACCCACCGAGCCGCGTCGGTTTTCTCTCTCCCTTTCTTCCTCTTTCTCTCTTTCTCTCTCTCTCTCTTTTTCCCTTTCCCTTATTCTCTCATCTTGTTCCTCTCGCTCTCTCATCCGTTCTCTTTATCTCGTTTTCTCTCGCCCTCTTCTTTCCACCGCCTC